AACCTCATTTCTACTCACATTTTTCACATCCACATTGCCCCAGCCAGCTGGTCAAAGAGGGACCATGAGATGGGACCCATTCATGGCAGTTATGTGGGTCCCCTTTTTTTTGATTAACCCCATTTCCGTTTATCTTGTGTTTTTAACTAAAAAAAGTAAACACCATCATGCCGAAAGACTCACATCCGTGCCTCAAAGTACCCCAACATATCTACAAAAACGAAAGCTTGATTTTAATCTTGATTTTGGTGCATCATGGATTATATGATTTAGGTGAATCATGGATGAAATGATTAATCATATGGTCCTTATGATCGGTCAAAAGTGTGGGTCTTTCATGGTACCTCACTTCATCATAGCATTTCCTTTTGAGTTGCTTTATTCTTCTGTGCTCAGATCACCCCCAAAAAAAAAAAAGGGGACAAGTTTATGGCCCTACACTAAAAAATTAAGGGCAATATATATTTTTAAATTTAATTATTTAAAGTATTTAATGTGTAATTGTTAATTAATAGATTATAAAACAATTGACATTCATCCTTTAATAGAATTAAAATTAATCTATATTATAATACTAACTCAGATTTCCTAGAATTCCAATACAAAATCCAAATATAAAATGCTAAATCTTTTTCATTTGTTTTATCAAAACTTAGAAAGACTACAAAAGGCTGGTAATCCAAGAAAGAGTGGACAAAACAGAGCATGTCTGTTTTGTTTTTGTTTTTTATATATATATATATATGTATATACCATTTGCATGGAGATACGAAGATTGTGATAGGAGAGGAGTCTGGCCCGTTTTCTTGTTTTTCTTTTAATTTAAGTTACAAAAAAAAGAGAAGCTTGTGCTCAAAGCTGAGCACCCTTTATATTCTTTTCCTCTGTCTTTCCCTTTATTAGTGCAAAGAAGCAAAGTATCTCTCCTCTCCTCATTCACATCACATTGCCTTGCTTTCCCTTGTAAGTTTCAATCTCTCCTTGGCTTGCAATGCAGCTTCTGCTTTTCATCTCATCTTTAGTAGTGATTAACCACTGGGTTTTCATCTTTCTGTGCAATAACATTTCTAAAGTTTGGAATCTTTGCTTTGGTTCTGGCATTAAGTTAATGAGGTCAAATTCAAACTTGGGTCTTTTGTTTTGTAGATTTTCCATATGCGTTATATGTTTTGTGATTTGTGATGTTGATATATGTTTTGTGTCTTTTGTTTCTCCTTCAGCTTTAGGGTCACGTAAACATGTAAATTCAAACACTTCTAGCGTCTTCCCTTCTTGATTAATTTTAAGACTTTCCTTTTCTTTCAATCTATTCTTCCAACTTTATTCATAGAATTTTTGGAAAATGAGAACATAATAGATCATTCTTTTCAAGCTCCAATCTCTCAGACGATTCTTTTTTCTTTTTTTTTTTATAGGTTTTATAGAGTTTTGCTTGTATATACACAGAGTTCTTCCATTCTCCTCCGTACAGATAGTTGATGTTCATTTGTATCAGATTATTCTGTTTCCCACAAACCAAGTTGATGTTCGTCTTCCTTCCCTAAGAAATTAGGAAATCAAGTTCGGAATTTTTTCTGATTCATTCTGAGGAACCAAACAGAGAAGTCATAAAAGCTTCCATGAGTTTTTCAACAGGATCAGGGGGCACTTGGCAGCCAATCATGACTGGCAATACAACCGCCTCGAGTTACTGGCTCAATTGGAGGTTCTTGCTTTGTGCTATTTGGGTATTGATTGCCATGACATTTTCAGTAGTTCTTATATGGAAATATGAAGGCTTCCGCAAATCAAACCGAGGTAATGGAGAAGCCCAGCAAGAAACAGCAGGATCTCTGTATGAGAATGAAACTTGGACACCATGCCTAAAAGGAGTCCACCCTGGTTGGCTGATGGCTTTCAGAGTTCTAGCTTTCATTGTGCTGTTGATATGCCTAACTGTTACCGGTTTGGCTGATGGTGGCAGCATTTTCTACTTTTATACTCAGTAAGCTCTCTTTTTCTTGTGTAGAGTTCTTATTATTTGAAACACTTGCATATTGTGAATTCTAGGAGGAAGAGTTTTCTCTTTCCCCTTTTCATGTGGAAAATTCTTGCTTCTTCTTTTTTAGATTTTTCACATGTTTGCTTATTATATGTTTCATATTTCCATCATCCCTTCTAAGCCTTTTCATCTGTGGTTGATTGTGGACAGGTGGACTTTTACATTGATAACCATTTATTTCGGGGTATGCTTTATTCTTAAGAGTCAGACAATTTTTGTTACTTAAGAATTTATGCCCGTTTACATTGGTGTTTATGCTAATTGTCTCAAGTTCCATTCACAGCTCGGATCACTTCTATCCATGAATGGATGCTACCAATATTACAAAAGGGTCAGCGGTGATAAGGTTGGTAATGTAGAGGTAGATACAGAACAAGGAAGCTCTAGCAATGCAGCAAAAGACTCGCATCCCCCTGAAGCATATCCTCCTTCTGAACCTGCTGGCATTTGGGGCCACATCTTTCAAATAATGTTTCAGGTAAATTTTTGGAAGTCCATACTTGGTGTTAGAAATTCATGAGTTAATGGATGAATTCTACACCTACATTTTGCTTAGTGCTTACCAATACGAGCACACTTCAGTCCATGACATATCGTGTTGCTCTGTTCCTCTTTCTGTCAATCTCAAATGTAACAGATTACTTCCATGCTAAAGGTTGTTTCTGTTTCTTGATCTTTGAACAGATGAATGCAGGAGCTGTTCTTCTGACAGACGGTGTTTTTTGGTTCATAATTGTTCCATTTCTTGAAAAGAAAGACTACGGTCTGAACTTTGTAAGTAGTATACTAACATAAACATTATTTCTATTAGTTTCCTTCTTCACTTTCTAAGGAGTTCTTTAATCCTTTTTCCGGGACAGTTGGTTGTTAATATGCACACCATCAATGCTGTTTTCCTGCTTGGTGATACCATTTTCAACTGCTTGGTAAGTAACCTTAACGGGTTTCAACTATTAAACACTAACAGCTTCCAATCCCTTTCTACACTTCATAATTTTGGTTTGTTTTTCTTTCAGCGCTTTCCCTGTTTCCGAATTGCGTACTTCTTCCTGTGGACAGTAGTTTATGTTATATTCCAGTGGATTCTCCATGCTTGTTTCAATATTTGGTAACTTTATTACCTCTTGCATTCCTGTATTCAGATTAAAATCTCCACTCATTACCACGTTGATGTTAATTCCAATCCTTATAAAACAGGTGGCCGTATCCATTTCTGGACCTGTCATCTTCATTTGCTCCATTGTGGTAAGCTTCTCTAATCATCATCATGACCACCTTCTGATAACATTACAAACCATAGTTTGCTGACATACTACCAAGAGTCCTTATATAACAACTTTACACTGTCCATCCATATAAATATATACTTACTTTGTTCTTTGAATTGGGATTTGAAGGTACTTTGCCGTTGCATTGATGCATTTTCCATGCTACGGTGCTTTTGCTTTGGTAATAAAGCTGAAACACCATTTGTTATCAAGATGGTTCCCTGACTCCTATCAATGCGTGAGGTAACTTCAATCAAAGGGTGCAGATACAGGAAGCCAATCCAAGATTAAACTATGAGTTTTCCCTATAGCAGATGCTTTGTAAGAAAAACTGAACATAATGGAATGACTGAACTGCTGTATAGAATTCACAAAAATATCAGTCCATCTATGTTGAGTTTTGGAATATAAACACAAAAGGGTCAAGTTTTAGGAAGCAGCAGTATTGGTTAATTTATACATAATACATATATGTTAGCAGAATGTGGTAGCTTTGTAAGCAAAATCAAGAAATTGAGAAAAGAAAATTCTTTGTTTCCTTCCACATTGATTTTTGATTTCTCAATTAGTTTACTCTGAATGCTGTCCAGGGTGAAAAGAGAAAAGGGAAAGGGAAGAGTTCCCAATGACTTGAGAAAAAGCTCAAAGCTTATCATTCTTCAACTAATTTGGTATGAGAGAATCTGTTTCAATGTAAAGGTGATGGTAATTAACTCTCAAAAAGTGATGGGTCAAGCCGGCAAAGAATATTGTCATGTTTTCCCTTGATTGTTGACTCGGAAAAATGCTCCCTGCTATCATGGTGCTTATAAAATATTGTCTCCTTTATACCCATTAAGAAGAAGAAGAACTTCAATTAGGCAACTTTTTGCTCACCACCAACACCAAAAATACAAATTAGGCTCCGTTTAACATATGGATGTGATTTTATTTTATTTTTTTTTTGTTTTAATTTTTAAAAATTTAGAAATTTCAAAATAACATTAAGTAGTTCTGTAAATTAATTAATTTTTAAACTTTTTATCTTTATTTTAAAATTTTCCACCCACTATATTAACAATTTTAATATTTAATTATTAATTATTAATTATTTGAATTTAAAAAATTAAAACAAAAAACTCAAAAATACAACCATATTAAACAGAGTATTAGTTTTCCTCTTACTTTATTTTTAAAAATATTGTTTTTCATACCATATAAACAAAAAATAAAACACAAGTCTAAGTTGAAAAGGATTAAAATGCTTACAATACCCTATTTTTTCAAGAGTTGATGAAAGATTTTCAGTAGGTGATCAAGGGTACTTTAATTTTCCAGTCCAGAGTGAAATGTAATTCTTTATCTGTTTTTTTCCCTTTATAGACCAAAAATAGTCATTGTAAAACAGGCGAATACGGACATCAACTTGTCCGAAGTTTGCTGCTGTAGGGGTTTTGCAGATTTTAACTGAGGCTAATTCATTCTATGCAAGCATTATGTAAAGAACAAATAAAATCCATTCCTATTCTTATTTTCAGGAATCCAATCAAGTGTGTAGAAAGTAGAAACAAATACCAATTAAGAAAAGATGAGGCTGAGTTTTTCTTAGAAAAAGAAGAGGGTGAAGCTCCATCCATATCAAATAACAGGAATCTCCCCTATACATCTCTACTATGGCATCTTTTGGACAGCCTTGCTTCTTTATGTTATGTACAACTGTACAAGTGGTGTCGGCAGCAGCTCAAAGCCTGGAGCAAAAACAGATGCTCGATTTAGTCCAGCAGAAAAAAGGGTCAAAGTGAAAAAGAAAAATGATATTTAGGAAAAATCTCTAAAGGAAAAAAAGAAACATATAACGGAGTTTCTTAACTTTAGAATTTCATGGTAACAAGAAAAAGGAGAGTGCGTGGAGAAAGCATCTAACCTTATTATGATTACATGTTCAGCTGAAGCCTGAGGTTGAGAAAATTTAGTATACAAATTGTATATGTCTAAACGACATGTGATTACATGGAATTGCTAGGCAAGGAACCCATTAGAATGATATTGTCACTGTCCTTGTGCTCCTTTATCCTCTCTAATTTTGGGAATAGTCCAGAAAGGAAACCTGAACTCAACCCAGAACCTGATCTTTTCCCTAACAAGTCCAATGCTCCACTTGCCCCAAAACTGGCACCACGGAGTAAACCGCTAGAGGATCGCACAAGCTCATGTGACCCAAGTTCAGCCCCACATAGACAGTTTGTGATCTTTTTAAAGCAAGGCTTATGGAAAACCAATCCACAAGATGGACATTTTTCAGTCTCGCCTTCCTGTTAATCATCTCATGCTGTTAGATTGTGTCAATGATGCCAATGATCCACGATCACTGACAATATGATACCTTTGGACCTTAAAGATTTATTATATCCTCATTCTAAATGGTTCAGAGGTTTCAATTAACTGGTTCACAGGAAATCAAAGAGAATGATCTAGGGCAAGATATTAATATCATTATCAGGCAGAGATCCCTGAGCACAAATTAATGCACAAATAGCCAAATAGACACACATTTGATTTCCAAAATAAATAAATAAATAAAATTTCATGTTGGAGCAATCAAGTAACCTTGCTAGTACATAACCTTAACTATCATGAACACTCACCTGAAAGGGGAATATGAGAGATGATGGATCATTACAAGACTGTCGAGCAGTGCAGGGAACTCCCACATCACAGCATATCAGGCATTGCTCTGTAATATGCTCCTCAATTTTCCTCAAGACAGTTTCCACCATCACTGGGAGGGCTGCAATAAGAAATGATATATTTAATTCTATTCACAGTCAAATGAAAAGTTGTAGAAAGCCAAAAGAATGAAAATCAAGGAATTTATAGTTTTTAAATAATATGTTTCAGATTTAATCAAATTCAGCACATTAAAAATTAAAAATTCTTCCAATAATATACAAAAAAGAGAAATTAGGTTATGATTGGGAGTTAACCTGCAAATGCTCCTTTGGATAGATCAATGAGATCTCTAAGTGCAAAAAAATCGTTGCTTTCAAGCAGATATCTGCGAGACCCGAGTCCTCTGTTGATTGACATTCGGAATGGACAGCGAACATACGGAAGCATAACTCCTATCCTTTTCCTGATCCCCATAACATGCTGCAGTGCTGGGACCTTTGAGAACAGGAAAGGATTGACTGCACTAACACAAAGCATGGGCTGCAAAGATAGGAAACGTTAATTAAAAGATCCAGCTTAGCCTCAAGTACAAATGTGAAATTAAATAAAATTTGAAAAAATTAATTGAATTTCAACATATCACAACAATTGTATCCATCAATTAAAATACGCACAAATAGAAGTGCTAGAGGGAACACAAAGACTATCAACCCATAGGCTATGGCAATTTCAAAGATCCATAGATAAGGGTCGAAGCCAACTACTTTATCAACTTCATCTCATGGTTGGTAAACTAGTTGCCAGCTGGGATCATATGACTCAATGAAATAATGCCTAATCCATCATTGCACTCATGTCTTTGATTTCACCAGCACACAATCCTCAGGAAAATTTTAAAGCAATAATTGAAAGAGAACCAGCCTTTACCTGGTCATGGATAGAATCCAGATATGATTTCGCCAACTGAGAAACTGGATATTGAATGAAATCCCAATTATGCAACACTCTAGCAGGTAAAACTGTAGTTTCATTTGTATGGCATGAAGAACAAAATAACTGGCCAGTGTATTCACAAAGTCTAGGTTTGCCCCATCCAAATGTCTGTACCAAATCTCGCATTAGTGTCATCCCATCATCAAAATGTTTATAGCATCCAGCACAAGTGTAATGTTGTGCTTCGAGCATTTGTTTCATTGATTTGGGTGGTCGAGGTTCTACAATAAGTGATATGGTTTTCCCTAGAGTGGGAATGTTTTGTGAGTTTGCTCCTCCAACAAATGGCGTAGACTGAGACAGCAGTCTATTAGACAAAGGGGAGCTAGGTACTGAATCTTGAGGTGACAAAAACCAAATCAATGCACTTGGAGGGCTGGAAAATGACCTGGAATGGAGAACGGAACGCAAACACTCTTGAATAAGAACACTTCTTTCAGCAATGACATCAGGAGATGCATTTCCAAATATTTTTCTGGATTCCTTTTCTACAGATGACCAGGGGGTTGGGAGAATCAAACCTTGTTCATAATAAAGTGATTTTAAGCGGCGATAGAGTGTACAGAAATCACGATATCTGCGTTCCACCTCCCATTGGTCATTGCCTGACCACACTCTTATTTTATACACAGTATATTCCTTAACCCCAACCAATCTTTCACTCAGAGAGACATCTCCATTTTTCTGCTTTGCACCTACCACTTCAACACCATCTATCCTCAGGGTATGTGGAATAGATGAGTAAGCTTCATCAGCACCTGAAGTAGAAGCTGTTGACCCTCCATCTCTTAGAGGTGATACTTGAGCTTGAAACATCCTATTACCCTGAGAGAACCTCACCCCATGAGAATCACCAGAATCAAGTAAAATCTCTTCCATGTCAAGAACAATCTCATCATAAGATTCATGTGGTTCAAGATTCTCTGTCTGCAAAATGTGGTCCAACTGACAAATAAGAATACAGAGCAACTCCAGTGCAACTTAGCGTGTGAAAATCTCCTAGGATAGTCTAGTGAAGCGAGGTTAGACAGTTCAGAACAACAAATAATGGTTGAACAATAAAAAAAAAACAAAAAATAGGACAATAAACCAGTGCATATAACAACGTAGAAAGGACTTAACCAGCCCATTTCCAGTTTCAATGCACTGCATAACAACAGGTATATTCTAGTTAATTATGAAAACTGAAAAAAACAAATATAGCACATAAATCTGAATACAAGAAATGAAGGGCGATTAATATAAGCTCATGCTACAGCTCTCAGTGTTGCTAAATGCAGAAAGTTCCTTTTTTTTCAACAGGTGTTTATTGAATAAAGGATCTGGTCAATAGTTCAATATGATGAATAGCCCAATAGAGAAATCTGTAATTGCTCTTTGGAACACAAATAAAGGTCTAGAATGAACATGCAAAGGTTTCAACTTGCCCCTTATAATTTCCAGTTTTCAGCACCACCAGCATAGAATAAGGCAACAAACATAAAAAGCATGTATACTTCTGCATGTTCAACCAAAAAACATCCTCTTTTATGTTTAAGTAAGTATATTGATTAGAGTTTTAACAAAGTATCTATAAACTTCAACAATTTACAATTTACATTGTAAGCATGAAAAAATCAGGTCTATTGGAAAATAGAAAAAAAGAAAAGAAAAGTGACTAATATGAATGCGAGCCTTAGCACTTGATTTTAACAACTGACCTGAACTTGTGCAGTATGTTTCTCAGATATATCAGTAGATGCATGAATATCATTGACTGTACTGCTCAAAATAACTTCAGATGATAATGACGGTGAATTTGATTGGTGATCTTCAAACAAACCCCTTGGAGAGTCAGCTGAATGGGCATGGTCGGCAAGCAGTCCCAATTCTGCACTAGAAACGTCAAGTTCCTGCCTTTCCAGTTCCTGCCTTTCCAAATCCTGACACTCATCAATGCCAATTACTTCCTTCGGATCAGTAGACAGATCCTTCCTTCCCATGCTGGAATCTACTAAGTTCAAACCAATTTCCAGGGGGGCTTTTTCTACTGGTGGATCCTGCTCCACCTTCATTGCAAAGACATCAGTAATGGAACAATTATCAAGATACTTCATATCATCATCAACATCTTCAGGTTGACCAGGGGTAACAGAAATGTCTCTCACATCTTTCTCCGGCTCATTATACCTTTCAGAATGAACCACAGAAATAGAGGAACTTTTCATATTGCCCACCACTTCATCAGCAACATGTTCCTGACAACTTGCAACAGGAATGTCTTTCACTTCTTCCACAAGCTCTGGCTCTCTAGAAGTGGGGAAACTAATTGGAAACAAAGCAAGGTTATTAACAATCCCTTGCATATCATCAGCATCTTTTACATTTCCACTGGCACTGGGCATTTCTAAAGCCAGAGAAACCAAATCACTTGTCCCCACTTCTTGCTCAAAATCATCCCAATCATTTGAACCAAATGCCACAGATGAGTTAATTAGCAATGGATTCTCATGCATAGTCGAATTCACAACCTCACCTTTCCTTAGATAATACGAGTTATGCCTACACTCATCATCGGTCCCATAGTTATACATGGAATCCTCACCTTCTGAATGCTCATGTCTCGATGAATTCCCATCTTCCTCCCTCAATTCTGTATCCAAACCAGAAGAACCACCAACTTCACCATTTTTGAATCTAACAATTGCAAGACTGCGCACGTCTCCACCTTCCTCAGTTCTATCTTTCTGTAATCCAATTCTACCATTGGATGGAAATTTCTGGTTTCCATCCAAAGTAAAATTCTCGAAATCATCCCCTAGTCCAAAGCTACTACTTCTCAAGCATCCAAACTCAGAATCTACCATACCATCATTAAAAGTCGCTATGGAGCTACAAATGCTAGGCGTCCCAAGCACCGAATTCGCACTGCAATATCGATCCAGCTCTGATTCTCCACATGAAGAATAGTGCGAAGAAGACCCCGTCGAAGCTTCGCCAGCTTCAAATTTTTGCACCGGCGCATCTAACGGATCGGGAGAGGCGACTTTGGCGACGTTCTCCCTAGTCCCCTCTCCATCACTCATTTGACACTCAAATTAAACAAAATTCAGATCGAAAAGATGAAAATAAAGCTGAATCAACGCTTCTGATCTGGATTGACTGTAACGCAACTACCAAAACCCTGATAAATGTTTCTAGGGTTTGATCGAGTTGAAGAGGAAAGAACCGGAGACGGAGAGATTGAGAGTAGCAGAAAGAACTGACCTTTAACCTGAAGAGGATTTGTGAGGACCAGTAAGAGCTGAGCTCCGGCGCCGGAAAATGAAAGAAAGACGAGATTTTTTTTCTATAAATTCGAGAGCTGTTTCAAAGATTTCGTCTTTTTTATCTGTTTTAATGCCAACCAGGGAAATGTTTTCATTCCTGTAATTAGTTCCACATAAGGCCGTGTTTGTTTTGCGACAAAATTCTGCAGAAAAAAAATATATAAATGTTTTCTTATGCAAAGAAACAGGCTCCGTTTTAGGTTTTAGTACCATCATTCACATCCTTAAAAGTCTAAAAATAAAAACTTAAAAATTAAATTTAAATAATTTTGCTAGTTAAATAAATAATTAAATAAAAATATTAAATGCACTTAGCCCTTGAGGCCTAGTGACATTAACTACCGGTATATTCTCTTCTCTCCGAGCAGGGTTCGAAACCCGTCTCTTGCAAAATATGTTCAAAAAAAAAATATTAAGTTATGTATTTTTTTATTTTAATATATTTTTAAATTTATGAGAGAATAATATATTTAAAATTAAATTTATTTTTAATCTCTACCAAACAAATTTATGTAAGAAATTATATGACCAAGCCATGCATGAGCACTTACATATGCAAAAGAAAAGCACCTAAAAGCTCGATGCCTTTTGTTTGATACACTTGAAAGAGACAAGTAAATACCCTTTTCAATCTGATTTTGACATTTAGTTATCTTAATTTACTTTTTACATATAGTTTAATTTAGTACTTTTATATAAAAATGAAGGGCAATTGAAACAAAAATTTTGACCTAAGAACTAGGCATTGATGAATTTTTTTTAAAAATTACACATGCGATATATACAGTTATGAAATCAAATTACAATTAAATTTTAAATTATGATAATTAAATGAGATTTGAGAGGAAGTACAATATAGTCAGGAACTCTACAAAAACATACAAAAAAAATAACTATATGGTAAGATGTAAATAAAACTAATCATTTCTTTCGTATAAGTAATTAGTAATTATTAATAAGATCTGTTTATATCTAATTAAATAATACACAAAATCTTCTGCAAAAGTTTACCAGAGAATTCATCCACTATCCTATCAACCCGCACCAAAGTGGCTTCCTTATTCAGCCCCACTATCATCACCTTATGAAGTGAACTGTCATGCTAACGTTGACTTAGGCTGAGCTAAACAAGTTCGAATTGGCCAAGCCTGGAGTGAAAAGGTCCTAAGTGAAGAGGCTGAAGTGAAGAGGTTCGAATTGAAGAATTGATTTATGCCTCTGAGAATGTCACTTTACCTATCATGTTATACTTTGATTATTACTTAAAAAAATCACGTGAACACCATTTTAAACCTATAATACTCTTGATAGTCCTCGCTAGTGGTACTTTTTTGAGTTTGGACCTTTTTTTGATTTACTTTGAATTATAAGCAAATTATTATTAATTTAAGTATCAAAGTATTTATCATGAAATCAAACAGCCAAAACCCTTATTTGCACTCTCCAATTATGTCTTTTTTGCAGTCAACACTTTCTAAATATTTTCTTCCCAATTAACACCTTTCACTTTTCAAAACTCGTGAAAAATTTAATATTTTAACGGCTCATCATGTCATCGTTAATAACCGTTAAAAAGTGTAATATGTGGCAACGAAATAATGATGTGTGCGTTATGTGGCGTTATTTATCTAATGTGGATTATTTTTTGATGACATGGCATAATTTTATGAGAAAACCTCTCAACCAAAAAAAAAAAAAAAGAACTAGAACACGGTGGAACCCAGAGTGAAGGAGCCCAGCTCTGAGTTTCCCGACGAATCGATCTGGGTTCCTCACGATGAGGAACCCAATCTAGGTTCCACAAGGAACCCAAAACTGGGTTCCATCGTGAGGAACCCAGAGTTGGGTTCCTTGTCAAACTCAGCTCTGGGTTCCTCGTCGAACCTAGTTTGTACCTTTCTTTCACCTTTCTTTTTTGTGATTCTTTCTGGTTTTGATAGAATAATAAAATGATGATTTGATTCTTTGATGGGTTCTCAACTTTTCTTGCAAGTGAATTAAAAGATTGTTCCTTTTTTTCAATTTGAATCAACGTCCATTAAAACCATCTTGCAAGTAAATTAAAAGATTGTTCCTTTTTTTCCAATATGAAGCATCCTCCATAGAACCATGGATGAAATCTTTTTCAATCTTCCATGGAGGCTGGGTTCCACGAGGAACCCAAAACTAGGTTCCTCACAAATCTAGGTTTTGGGTTCCACAAGGAACCCAAGAAGAGGGTGAAGATGATGTCGAGGATGATGAGAAAGAAGAAGGTGAAGAAATTTAAATTAATTATGTTTTAATTCATTTAATTTTCTGTTTTAGTTTTAGTTTTTTTGTTGGGAGGTCTTCACATAAAATTATGCCATGTCATCATGCGACATCATCAAAAAATCATCCACATTAGATAAATAACGCCACATAATGCCCATATTATTATTTGGTTGTCACATATTGCACTTTTTATGGTCTGTTAAAATATTAAGATTTTTACGGGTTTTAAAAAGTAAATGGTGTTAATTGAGAGGAAAATATTTGGAAGGTGTTGACCGTGGAAAAGACATAATTGAAAGGTGCAAATAAGGGCTTTGGCCGAAATCAAGCTTTAAGTTTGTTTTCTAAGACATACTAGAAAAGTTGATATGTCAATTTTTTTTTATTATTATTTTGATTGCACAATAAGAGGCACTCATCTTCCATTCCTTATCTCACTCAACCTGCATATCATGCGACTCAAAATCATGATCTCTTATTTCCAACAAAAAGAGATTATTATTAAGTTATTTAGGTCGTTGACACTTTAAGCTAAATAATTTTAGTATTCTTAGGATGAGCTGAAGTGCTTATATTTTTCTAAAATAAACTAAGGATCAGAGAGTAGAAGTCATTAAATCTAAAGTTAAGAAAGTTAAAATCAATATAGAGTTAATTCATGTAATTACATTTATGACCCTCCATCTCACACGTAACAAGAGATACACCTCATTCTTTGCCTGCACGTTGGATATTGTTCAGCTTGAACTTTCCATGCCTTGTCACGACATTACAGCCCTTCATTTTTTCTTAAAGCTAGCAAATTGATGGATCGAAATGATTAATTGCAAATTTTAAAGGGTTAGGATCGAGATGTTCATTTTCTAAAGTTGAAATTTTAAAGGGTTAGGATCGAGATGTTCATGAATTAATTCATCATCATCATCAAACAAAATCACCAAAAAA